AGTTTATGCAGTTATTATTGGTGATTACAGTTTTCACTGCTTAGTAAACCTAAACTCAACATTTCTTGAAAAATAATGGATATTTGTTTTATGAAAAACAAAAAGCTGGCTGAGATCTATCTCTTCTTTGGGAAACAGCGACGGTTTTTATTATGGGGTCAATAATATTTTATTCTGCAGCATAGAAAAAGAGTCTTATGGAAACACAACTTGATTTAGAATGTCTTAAGGATTTAGAGAATAAATTTATCAACACCCCCTCACATGTTTTGCAGAAAGAATTAGATGCAGCTTGCTCAGCCTTAAATCAAATCTTAACTAGAAAGGCAGAGACCTCATTGCTTTTTTCAAGGCAGAGGCTATACAAATACGGCGATAAACCAGGCCGTTTACTGGCATGACTGGCAAAAGGCAGAAACGAGGCAAGCATGATTTCAAGGGCAGTTTAACTCCTGACTCTAAACAAGTAAACACGCAGAAAAGGTGTTTGACTGTGGAATTTAATTTAGGTACAGGCTTTATTAATTGGATTCAGACTCTTTACTGTATGCCAAACTGCTTGTGTTATTACCAATGGCCTTTGCTCATTTCCTTTTCTGTTGGGGCGAGGTACAAGGCAAAGCTGCCCTCTATCCCCTCTCTTTCTTGCCTTAATTCTGGAACCTCTAGCAGAGACTATTAGAACTCACACTGATATCGAGGGGGTTGAGATTGGCCAGTCAGTTCATAAAATTATATTACATGATGACAATATACTTCTATTTCTTACAAAGCTGAAATTTCTATTCCCACAGTTGTCAGGACTATTGATTCTTTTAGTTTGATATCGGGTTATAAGATAAACTAGATTGAGAAGTTTGTAGACAAACTTTAAGTTGGCTTGAAAAAGCCTAGCCAGAAAGTTTTAAAAAGTTTTAAAAGCTTGCAGTCCAAAAGTTTTCAGTTTGAAGTAGTTTGAAATTTAAAATTTTTAAAGATTAAAGTTTGAACGTTTTCAAGGCAATAAAGTCTATCAGAAAAACAGATAGGTATAAAACATATTGCTAGGGTACCTGGGGTGGTTGCTAGGCTGTTTTTAGCATGACTAGGATGTTGCTAACATGTTTTAAGCATGATTAGCATGTTACTAGCATGGTGTTACCATTTTGTTAACATGATTATCAAGCTACTAGCATATTTCTAGCATTATTAGCATGTTACTAGCATGGTGTTACCATTTTGTTAACATGATTATCAAGCTACTAGCATATTTCTAGCATTATTAGCATGTTACTAGCATGTTGTTAGCATTATTGGCATGTTATTAGCATGTTGCTAGCATTATTAACGTGTTACTTGCAAGTTTTTAACATGGTTAGCATGTTGCTAACATGATTAGCAAGTTACTAGCATGATTGTAGCATGATTAGCATGTTACTAGCATGGTGTTACCATTTTGTTAACATGATTACCAATTTACTAGCATGTTTTTAACATGATTCGCATGTTACTAACGTTGTTAACATGATTAAAAGTTACTACCATGTTCCTAACATGATTAACATGTTATTAGCATGTTAGCATGATTGGTATGTTACTAGCATGTGTTAGCATTTTGTTAGCATGACTAACATGTTACTATCATGTTTTTAGCATTATTCTATCATGATTAGCATGATTCTATCATGATTAGCATGTCACTAACATGATACTAGCATTTTTCTAGCATGATTAGCACGTTACTAGCATGATTCTAGCATGATTAACAATTTGCTAGCATGTTTCTAGCATGATTAGCAATGTGCTAGCATTTTTTAGCATGATTAGCAAGTTACTAGCATGTTGTTAACATTATTAACAAGTTACTAGCATGTTGCTAGCATGATTTTAACATGATTAGCATGTTATTAGCATGATGCTAGCATGTTTCTAACATGTTTGACAAGTTTCTAGCATGATTAGCAAGTTACTAGCATTTTTTATCATTATTAACATGTAACTAGCATGGTGTTAACATTTTGTTAGCATGATTAGCAAGTTTGTAACGGACAAAACATTACTTGGTTTTATTATTGTAGATTCACTCCACTTTTCTTGTTGATTTCATAGTGTGATGTATTTGGGTCACATGTAGTACCACTAGGAGCAGCTTGAGGGCACTATTGCCTGGCGGTAACTGGACATATAAACTCGATCACTATAGAGTAAGTCAGTTCGTTTGGTAGAGGGAAACCATTTGGTTGAACTCATGCTACCGGCATGCTCTTTGAAAGTCCTTGGTTGAGAACTCTGTGTTTCTGCTCAGCTGTGAGGATGGTTTGGTTTATTTACCTGACAACATGTCTGTATAATGAAGTTACTGATGTCAGCCATTTGCTTTCTTTTTAGAAAGGACTTTATTTGTCTATGTCTACACTTGTCTATTCTTGAAATGATTTCTTTCTTCGTGTGTAATTGATTGGATGCATCTTAAATCACCTCTGGATACGAGGTGTGGGTTCATCCAACGCGGCACACAGGACAGCAACACGCCGAACGCCAATGACACTGTGGGTTATAGGACTACTAACATTGCATCACACTCAAATAACTTTGTGGATTAAAACGTCATCTCATCACTCATCAATTCTCGTACTTCAACTGTACATGGAACGATAAGTTTATTTCAACTCATTTCAATGGTTGTGTGGAGAGGTGTTCAGGGCGGGTGTGGCGTTTTTTTCAAACCTGCAGTAGAACTCGTTCAGATCGTCTGCCAGTTGTTGATTTTCCACAGTGCTGGGGGATGGTGTCTTGTAGTTGGTGATTTCTTTCAGACTTTTCCACACTGATGCTGAGTCACTGGAAGAGATTGAATCCTTATTTTTTAAGAATAATTACTCTTTGCCACTCTGATCTCCTTTTCCAGTGTGTATTTAGCCTGTTTATACAAGACATTGTCCCCCTTCTTGTAAGCATCTTCTTTGGCCTGACGGAGCTGTCTGAGTTTTGCAGAGAACCATGGTTTGTCATTGTTGTAGGTTAAATGAGTCCTGGTAGGAATGCACATATCTTCACAGAAAATTATATAAGATGTTATAGTCTCTGTGAGCTCGTACATGCTCGTCATGGACATTATGGGACTGTTCCCATTGAGTACCCGTCAAAATGAATATCTTCTAGTTGTGGTAGACTATTTCTCTAAGTGGGTAGACGTCTTCCCCATGAGATCTGCCAAATCTACCTCCATCGTTTGTATTCTCATCGAAGAGATATTTACAAGGTAGGGAACAACAGCCTTCATTGTTTCTGATAGAGGCACTCAATTCACCTCAAACCTCCTGGATCAGTTATGCAAGCAGTGGCCGGTAATCCAAAAACTCACTACTGCTTATCATCCACAATCAAACCTGACTGAACGCATCAATCGAAATCTAAAAACCATGATTGCATCATATGTTGACAATATTCACCGTACTTGGGATCAATGGATCTGCAAATTTAGATTTGCTTTGAATACAGCATGGTATGAAAGCACAGGTTTTTCACCCGCTGAAGTAGCCCTTGGATGTCAATTGAAAGGACCACTACAAAGAGCTCTACAGAATCCGCCAGATCCAGATCAACCAAGCTACAGTACCATTGATCACCAGAAACTACTGTACGAATTGTGGTGGCTTCTGCCGATGCTGTAAGGAATCATTCTTCAAGTCTTGGGGTTTTGATGCCAGAAGATAGACGTTATTCTTCAGATGAAATAAAGCCGAGAAAAACTCAGTAGAGCAATCTCCAGACTCTTTTTCTGTACCCTCTTATATACTGTTCTTTCTTTAGGCGTGTTCAATACATTTCATTCATATTTGTTATGGGATCACAATGCTTGATGCCAGAAGATAGACTTTATTCTTCAGATGAAATAAAGTCGAGAAAAACTCTTGTAGAGCAATCTCAGACTCTTTTTCTGTACCCTCTTATATACTGTTCTTTCTTTAGGCGTGTTCAATACATTTCATTCATATTTGTTATGGGATCACAATGCAGTCATGAGGCCTTAATTTTATGTTCTGTGAAAATAAGGGCCCCATTATGTGCCATCATGTGCTTATCATGTACTTCACCATATGTCTGCACATTCCATTCTCATACAGATTTCTATACATGCAGGCAAATACACATGATTATAGTAGTAGAATAACTTAATACATAAATGGCTATATTCACATTGATTATACTTGAATAATTTATATTTAAAAAATGTAAGGAATTATTATATTTTGATTAATTAAAATCTTCCACATTCCCCTCTTTGAGACTTACTAAGTCTCACCATCATTTGTCATTACCCAGACTGCAGTTTCATAATTCAGTCTCATCAGTTATTACTACCTAGTGACTAAATTAAGTCATACAGTTTTATCACCAATGATCAGAATATGCTACAGCACTCTGGCGGAGCAGCAGGACCAAACCTCTCCCCCCACACTTGACTAGGAGGGAATAAAAGATCCCCATCTCTCGAATCCCTAATTTAAGATAAAACAATGTTATAAGCATGAGCGTGCAATTGGTTCAGTGCTTGCCTGTGGTTGTCACAGTTATGTAGTATACAACAGAAATAAAAATTCAAGACATAAAACATGTAACATCACAAAAAATAGCATAGGTAATCTTCAGCCCAGACACTTTGCACATTGTAGAGGGCCATTTTGGTTACCCTCAAAAATCAATTTCCCATCATATTGACATCTTAGAATTTTAATTTGCTTAGTTGTGGTTTTGATAACTAGTGACCTCAATATAGGAAGTACACAGTAAAATAGTTCTATTCCTATCAATACTGCAATTCCTAAAAACATTCCCAATTTATTTAACTATGCTTCCCATGCTCCTAACTTTAGATCAAACCAATCTCACATTTGATTATCTTTTCCAGCATTTGCTTTATCTTCCATTCTTTAATTTGATCATTACTTCACTAAATGCTCCTTCTGGATCATTATTATTTGGTATATCAATACAGCATTGTTCCCCAAACATAATACATACTTTTCCTTTTTCAGTTAACAAATAATATAAAGCTATTCTATTTTGCTATGTCATTGTTGCGTCCAATTGCTCTCCTAGAAGTGATAAGGCCTCATCAGTATAATTAATACATCTTTGCTGATTGTACTTTATGTAATTTAATTAATCCCTTTTGTAATTTTATTTATTTATTTTTATTATTATTATTATTATTATTGTAATTTAGAATTAATATTGATTCAAACCCTAATTTAACTGCATCTCTTGTATTAAAGTTGTTAGGTATGCCTTTAGGTTGAACAATTGAATTTATATAATCTGCAGGGTCTTTTTCATCTGCTCTTTTGGTTCTAGTTTTTTCTTCATTTGTGGTTTCCTCTTCTAGAGAGATATGACTACTTTTATGCATCAGCATAACCCTAGTAATCCTGACCAATTTTCTGGTAATGTTGGCAAGAGGCCATATTTTTCTGCACATCCACCGTATGTCTGCCAATGCAATATTGATTTCATCAAATATAGGAGGTGGGCCTTCCTTTTTCACTAACTAATCATCTTTTCAATATTTTGCTGCATTTCCTTTAATCTGCCAATGTCAATAGTTCCCGTCTTTTTATAACATTCAATTCTTGATCTGCCATTATTTGTATTTTTCCTTGTGTTTTTTTATTTTTTATTATTATTATTTTATAAATTTTTTTATTACCATACTATTGACCATTTACGGGTTCGGGTGCACTGTAATTCAGTTGTTTCTCTGTTTGTTGAAGATTGGAGAAACTGGCACCAGTATGGGCATAATGCCATTTTTTGGGTACAGTTTCTAAAGACCTTTATCTCTCTACCTCTTCTATTCTTCTATTAAGCATTTATCTCCCAGTTTTATTACATCTAATCCCATTTCACTAGATAGTTCTGGACATTTATTTTATCATTGCAACAGTAAATTTCTGGCTGAAATTAATTTGTCATCTTGGTTTGTTTAGGCCTATTTAAAATGAGACACATCTGTTTATTATTTTTTTACAATTATTTCACAATTATTTTAATCTCCAAACTGTTTTAGATAGTTCTGCTTTGCATCTTATGCTTTGCTAAATACAAAATTGACATATTTCATGGACATATTTCATAGACTTTTAACAGCTGTAAATGAAAAAATTAAAACACAAATATTATTAGTGAATAATACTATAAATAATACTATAAAATAAAATAGTTATTTTTCTTAAATACTTAATTTCTGCCATATTACACTTTTTATTAAGATTAAGCGTACAGTAATGTCAATTGTTTTTTTTTTAATCTAAAATCTTTTGGTGGGTCTTGAAATGGAAAAGTTTGAGAACCCCTGTCTTAAACCATTCATCATGAAATATTATACAACTGTGTATGAGTATTGGTACAATATATAAGTCTGGTCTTGCTTCAAAGCAAACTATGCAGTTTTCCCATTTTTGTTTTTCTGCTGTGTAATTTGCCCATTTTTACCAATTATTTTCTTCTACCTTTTCCCATGAAAAATTTGAATTGCCAGTTTTCTTATAACTGATATTATGGTTGTCATTTACAATGTGTCTATTTTGTCTAGATACTTTTTCCTCCTTATCTAGTTCTTGTTCTTTTTGGATTAAGTCAAAGCCACTGCTAGATTCAACTGAGGGGGTGAAAGTTGATTGTAGGGAAGTCTGGGTGCTGTTGGCTACAGCTTGAGCTTGTAGAATTAGATGCATTAGGCATGTGATGATCATCAGATATCTTTTCACTTTTCTGCTTCTCTGACAAAAGAATGTGAGTTCCTTGCATATCTCTTTTTGAGTTGTCATCAGTTTGCACTTCATCTTGCGTTTCTGGTCTCTCCACGTCACTTCTTCCTGTGTTGTCTGCTGCCTTCTCTTTCCACTTCCTCTTTTCCTTTTGTTGGCCCACATCTGCTCCCAAGTATTTTGATCATTTCGTTAGCTGTCCCATCAATCATTCCATTTTCACCAGGGTGACTCTTTGTGAGTTGTTGCAATGGTTTTTCCCTCATTGGCAGGAGAGGGTCGTTACTAGCACGCCCTTCATCCCTCACTTCATGCTGTGTGGAGTTGTTGAAGTGGTTCTTATTGATGGAGCAAACCATTCCTTGTCCTTTATAGAACTGCTGTTACCTGTAAATGGAAACCTTTAGATTTTTTTGTTAGTGATATCAAGCAAGCTCATCTGGCCAGTCATCCTTCTTGGTGTGATCTGTGGAAATTTCATGTGGGTTGAGGGCTGTCCTGGCCCCTTTTTTGAGCTCTCACAAATCCATTGCTGTCAATACAATGAGCAGGGCTAATACCCTCTTTCTAAAATAAAAAGCTTTAATTAATTATTTGCATATATTATCCTTACTCTTTTTTATTTTAAATTAATTTCAAATTTATTCTTAACAATTTGCTAATTCAGTTATCTCTTTGTTTTATAAACTGAGTTCCACTATATCACTTGATAATTTTTTAGGCCTATCTTACTAAGTAACATAGGCCTTTTGACTTGGAAAACACTCAACCCACTTTATTTCTGTTAACAGTCAGAAAGACAATATTTTATCCTTTTGACACAGAATCAGCTCCATTATGAAATGCTGAAAAGATAGTTAGATGTGGGGTGGACGGAGCAAGCTTACTTTGCTCTGCCTTCCCATGTTACTCTAAAAAACGTTGGGTTATTACTGTACCCAATATCTGGGTTAAACATGTTGGGTCGTTTTGTTGGGTTATTCCTATGTTTATTGGGTTATTTCTATAACAACACAACCAGTTGGGTTAAAATTTTAAATTCCAACAGTCGATCGGTGCAACTGCAACAGATGACACTGGTAATAATATGTGTGCGTTATGTTGTTTTTTTTGTAACAAAGTGTCTTTAAGCCCTGACAGTAATGTTGCTGTTTTTCCTACGAGTATGTTTACATCTCCCCTGTCAACTGATATTTTAATTCATTAAAAATCCGTTATCTGCACTCTTGACTCCTCTTTCCTTACCTTTTCAGTTTGTCTCGACAGTTTTGGGGGAAATTTTACATATATTTCAGATATTTGGCCGACGCGTATGGAGGACCAAACCTGCAGAAATAATAAATAAATAAATAAATAACAGGAAAATAAAGAAATAAATGACTTGATGAAAACAAATATAGTTCATTTGTAATAAAATTTAATCCTGAATTGATTTTTATGACCTTTTTCCTATGTATTATTTTCTGTATTTATTTTTACATTTATTTTGATTCTTTTTCAGTTTTATTTACTTATCTTCTCATTTATTTTTATATTTATTTATGTATTTATTTATTTTAAATGTATTTATTCATGCGTTTATTTATTTTTTATATTTATTTATTCCCACATATATTTATTTCCAGATTTATTTATTCTTACTTTTCCGTGTGCAGCATTTTTGAGAGAGCTCACGCAAAAGCATCAGATCAAACGAGATCGGAGTTTGTGGGATCAACTGCAGAGTTGCAAGATATTTTCACAGATTCACATTATTATGTGTCGAATTTCACAGAGAAAATCATGACTCTCAGAAGCATTGTGAGCCTAAATGCAATCGTAAACCAGTTGCACCAAAGGACCTAGTTAGACCTATGGTCTATTCAGGCTCACAATGCTTTTTGGAATCGCGGCCCACTGGCAGTTGACGTCTATATTAGCAAGTTTAGGGACCATCTCTAAAGTTAAATCCGACATTGGTATACATGATTGTAACTTCAATAACATTTGTCACAAAACCAACTGTAAAGTGTTCATCTACGAATCAGGTATATTTAGCAATATTTAGATATAATTTGACAGTTTATTTGAATAAATATCGTATGTCGTATGTAAGTTTAGAGACGGTCCCTACACTTGCGAATATTGAACGTCCAACGTCAAGCTAACTTTATGGCAGCGGGCCGCGATTCCAAACCTTTGATGCAACTGTTTTACGATCAACTTAATGCTTTTGGGAGTATTTTCTCTGTAATTACAAAATGAACACAAGCCTTAGAAACCTCTACCAAGTGTGTCTAGAGGCGTCATCAAACTAAACTTAATGACGAAACTGTCAGGATAAGTAGGTGAATTCGGTCGCTATAAAATAATTCAACATAAAGTGAATCTGTGAAAATATCTTGCAACTCTACAGTTGAACACACAAACTCCGATCTCTATCGTTGGCTTGATCTGACCTTCTGCGTGAGCTCTCAACCAATGATTCACCGGAGCTCCGCAAGGACCGCCTCCCTCATTTGCACACGGAAAATTACTTCTTCTTCTTTGAGGTTTAACAGCGGCTTGCATCCAAGAGCATTGCATTACCGCCACCTTCTGGATTATTCTCCTGCAATGCTATTCCATTTTATTTCCTCCAGCTTGTTTTCCACAATCATATTTTCCTCATCAAACCCGTTCTACTTAAGAAATTACAAATATTTTTCCTGCTTTGTCTAATCACCCCACTTTGCAGTATATCTTTAATACCTGTCCCTACCAACCCATCTCTTCTTAATTCTTCCATCATATTTGTCCTCTGATCTTCATAACTTCTGCAACTTAAAATAACATGTTCTATGGTTTCTAATGTCTGACAATATTCACAAAAACCAGTGGGATGCTTCCCTATAATGTGTAATGTACTATTTAAATTACTGTGTCCTATTCTTAATCTTGTCATCACTATTTCTTCTCTCCTAGTCCCTCCCCAATTCCTCTCTTTACCAACTTTATTTTGAATGGCATACAAATGTCTTCCTTTAGCTTCCCTGTCCCACTGCCGTTGCCATTCTCTCTAGCTGTCTCATCTCCTATCCATCCAAAACTAAACTTTGGCGCCCTTTCCTTTTCCCAGCTAGCTTGCAGTACCCTCTTAGTAGGATGTCCATCTCTATGTCCCTTTAAATTAATCCAATAATTTACCAGCAATTGTTTACGTCGAATGTCCAGTGGCATTTCTCCCGCTTCCACTTGTAGTGCACATACTGGTGACGTTTTTACTGCTCCTAAACATAGTCTCAATGCTTTAGCCTGTATTGTATCAAGTCTTGCAAGTACAGATTTGGCTGCTGATCCATATACCACACTCCCATAATCTATTCTTGCCCTTATTAAATTTACATATATATATTTCAGTGATTGATAATCCGCTCCCCATTCTAACCCTGATAAACATCTCATTGTATTTATTACTTTTTTACACTTATCCTCCACATTCCTTATATGTTCTACCCATGTTAACCTTGGATCAAAATGTACTCCTAGAAAGCAAAATTGATTAACTCTCTCCAAATGACTTCCGTTTAGTTTTAAATTAAAGCCTTCATTGATTTTCCTCCTTGTAAAAACATTACTTTAGTTTTTTTCAACAGAAAATTTAAAACCCCATTTTATTCCCCACTTCTCAACCTGCTGAATATCATCTTGCACTTTCTTAACTCCATCATCCGCAAATAATGATCTTCCCATGCCTGCTAGTACATTTACATATATGTCATTTATCATTGCTGAGAATAATGTGGGACTTATTACACTCCCCTGGGGCGTTCCAT